GGCATTAAAATTTGCACTTTCTAGAAAGGTGTAGAGTTAGGGGAGATATGACTGATGAGTATAAATTGAAAACAGGAATATATAAAGAGGATGTAAAAATATCTAACCAAGAAAGGACTCACAGAAATAGGTTCAACCTGGAAAAATTTAGATTTAAGAAAGGATTTATGAAAGCATTGGATTGGCAATAGAGTTGTGGATGTGTGGAACAAACTCGAGTAATGTCATTGAAGATAAAATCTTGAGTGGCTTTAAAAGTAGCTTAGGCAAGTACATGAGTGAGTATGGGTTGATGTGACTTGGACCTGCTTAACTTGGGCCAATAGGCCTACAGAAGTGCTCCTTCCTTATTATGTTCTTATTAGAAACTGAAAAAACATTTAATACAAATATAATCTATGATAAATGTTAAAAAATGCTTCAGTAATGAAAAAATGCTGACTTAATTAAGGGAGTACCTTGACATTTTTGATGTGATGGTTGCCAGAGCTTGCTGTGTCTTGCGGTCCGACTCGGCCATGTTGTTAAGGACTTGTCTGGCACGCGTCTCGTCATAGTGCACAGACTGCAGTGCCATGGTCACCACCGTTGGTGTCAGTGCCGGGTACTCTGCTGCCAGCTGGTTACGCACTGTAACACGCAGTACAGCTGTTGTAACACTAAACATAGTACAACTGTACACCACAACTGTTGTTAATGAAGAGCTAGTAAAAATATCGACCTTGATGACTGCCAATAAACTTACACTTAATAGTGACAAAACCTTTTACATTATGTTATAAAGAATAAAAAAAGAATAAAGACTATTTCTTTGCAAAGGTTACAAAGTGTAATTGCAATTTTGGTTTGTTAAGTACAGCAGAACAGGTGATGCCCAACTGAACATTATGACTGAGAACACTGATATTGCTAAACATAATGAGGGCAAATTTCTGGGTATGCACCTTGACAGCAACCTGAAATTCAACACCCTTATCCAACACAACAAAAAAAGTATCCAAAATAGTTGGGACCCTCTCAAAGATACATTACTATGTACCACAATTAGCCCTACTCACACTATATTATTCACTCATCTATCCCTACCTCGCCTATGTTATTTGTGCCTGGGGATCAACAGCAGCAACCCACCTAAAGCCAATAATAACCCAACAAAAGGCTGTAGTATGAATTATCATGCAATCCAATGCTAGACAACAATCCCCCCACTCTTCAAATACCTAAACCAACTCCCTGTACAGAACATTCACACTACAGAACTATAAATTTTCATATTAACCCTGAACTAAAACACTTTCTTGATAGTTGCAACAGGACTCATAGACACAATACCAGACACAAAAATCTCTATGACATTCCCTGTGTCTGGATAAATCTCTTCAAAAACTCAATGTACATAAAAGAGCCTAAAATGTGAAACTCCCTGCCTAAAAACTCTAGAACCGCAGAATCAACCACCATTTTCAAAACTACCATTAAAAAACACTATCCCACTACCACACCCCATCATCAGCTAAGTGAAAAACACAAAATAGACTTACTCTTGATATCTGTAATTCTTCCTCTTTTACATTTACACTCACCCAAATGACTGTAAACATAAAATTCTTAATATAGTTATTGGCTAATTAATGTTAAGTTAATGCTAAGTTTGCCTGATATACTCTGCCAACGCAGGAGCTTTTATAGAAGCAGTGTATCATGCTGAGATAAAACCATTCCCATTATGTACTAAATTTACTAACTGTAATATTGTTATATGTTTCGTACTACCTCACTATTATCAATCTAATTAATGATAACCACTTCAATTACCTAATTTTTATATCAATATGCAATAATGTATATTAAAATGTACTGCTCCATAACCTGGGCCAATACAGAGTAAGAATAAGGAAAGTCTGCCCGAATTTTTTTTTTTATTTATTTTATGTCTTTGCAGACAGTACATTGAGATTTTATATTTACAATAGTGGGTTGCAATGCAAAGAGAGCCTCTATTATGCCTAGGCATTATGGGCCAACTTAACATTGTTGGTTTACAGTCTACTTAACACTACGGAGTATATCATAGTTGCACAGTAGGATAGTAATTATTTCATAGTTGAACAGTAGGTTATTGATTATAAGTGAATTAAAATTGTATAAGACAAAGGATATATTCTTTCTTCTTTCTTTCAACACACCGGCCGTATCCCACCGAGGCGGGGTGGCCCAAAAGACAAAACCAAAGTTTCTCCTTTCAAATTTAGTAATATATACAGGAGAAGGGGTTACTAGCCCCTTGTTCCCGGCATTTTAGTCGCCTCTTACAACACGCATGGCCTACGAAGGAAGAATTCTGTTCCACTTCCCCATGGAGATAAGAGGAAATAAACAAGAACAAGAACTAGAAAGAAAATAGAAAAAAAACCCAGAGGGGTGTGTATATATACGCTTGTACATGTATGTGTAGTGTGACCTGAGTGTAAGTAGAAGTAGCAAGACGTACCTGAAACCTTGCATGTTTATGAGACAAAAATGGACACCAGCAATCCTACCATCATGTAAAACAATTACAGACTTTCGTTTTACACTCACTTGGCAGGACGGTAGTACCTCCCTGGGCGGTTGCTGTCTACCGAGGTGGGGTGGCCCGAAAGGAAAAATGAAAGTTTCTCCTTTTACATTTAGTAATATATACAGGAGAAGGGGTTACTAGCCCCTTGCTCATGGCATTTTAGTCGCCTCTTACAACACGCATGGCTTACGGAGGAAGAATTCAGTTCCACTTCCCCATGGAGGTAAGAGGAAATAAAAAAGAACAAGAACTAGTAAGAAAACAGAAGAAAACCCAGAGGGGTGTGTATATATATGCTTGTACACGTACGTGTAGTGTGACCTAAGTGTAAGTAGAAGTAGCAAGACGTACCTGAAACCTTGCATGTTTATGAGACAAAAATGGACACCAGCAATCCTACCATCATGTAAAACAATTACAGACTTTCGTTTTACACTCACTTGGCAGGATGGTAGTACCTCCCTGGGTGGTTGCTGTCTACCAACCTACTACCTACAACTATACATACATGTGCACATTTATTTATACAGACTATTCTGAGTTTTCTTTGATTTTATCTTAATAATTCTTGTTCTTAGTACTTTTCCTTTTATATCCATGGGGAAGTGGAATAAGAATCTTTCCTCCATAAGCCACACGTGCTGTAAAAGTCAACTAAAATGCCGGGAATAATGGGCTAGTAACCCCTTTTCCTGTACATATTACCAAAAAGAATAATAAGAAGAAAACTGTCAAAGTGGGAAGTCTGAATGTGCGTGGATGTTGTGTGAATGATAAGAAAGAGATGATTGTGGATGTTATGAATGAGAAGAAGCTAGATGTGAAACAAAGCTGAAGGGGGTGCGTGAGTTTCAATGGAGAGGAATAAGTGGGATTAGGTCAGGGGTTTCTAATAGAGTTAGAGCTAAAGAAGGAGTAGCAGTAATGTTGAAGGATAAGCTATGGCAGGAAAAGAAGGACTATAAGTGTATTAATTCAAGGATTATGTCGAGTAAAATAAAGGTTGGATGTGAGAAGTGGGTTATAGTAAGTGTATATGCACCTGGGGAAGACAGAAGTATAGAGGAGAGAGAGATTTTGCGAAATGTTGAGTGAATGCGTGGGGAGTTTTGAATCAAGTGTGAGAGTACTTGTGGTTGGGGATTTTAATGCTAAAGTGGGTATAAATGTTGTGGAGGGAGTAATAGTTAAATTTGGGGTGCCAGGGGTAAATGAAAATGGGGAGCCTTTAATTGAGCCATGTGTAGAAAGAGGTTTGGTAATAAGTAATACATATTTTATGAAAACGAGGATAAATAAATATACAAGGTATAATGTAATACGTAATGAAAGTACAGTGGACCCCTGCTTAACGATCACCTCCCAATGCGACCAATTATGTAAGTGTATTTATGTAAGTGCGTTTGTATGTGTATGTTTGGGGGTCTGAAATGGACTAATCTACATCACAATATTCCTTATGGGAACAAATTCGGTCAGTACTGGCACCTGAACATACTTCTGGAATAAAAAAATATCGTTAACCGGGGGTCCACTGTAGTTTGTTAGATTATGTATTGGTGGATAAAAGGTTGATGGGGAGGCTCCAGGATGTACACGTTTATAGAGGGGCAATTGATATATCGGATCATTACCTAGTTGTAGCTACAGTTAGAGTAAGAGGTAGATGGGATAAAAGAAAAATGGCAACAACATGTGAGAGAGAGGTGAAAGTGTATAAACTAAGGGAGGAAGAAGTTCGGGTGAAATATAAGCAACTATTGCAAGAAAGGTGGGCCGATGCAGGTATGAGTAGTAGGGGAGGGGGGTTGAAGAGGGTTGGAATAGTTTTAAAAATGCAGTGTTTATAATGTGGGGCAGAAGTTTGTGGTTATAGGAGGGTGG